ATACTCATTTAATAAAGTGGTTGTTATAATACTAATGGTCATGACCCATACATGAATAAATGTGATATATATAAAATACATAAGAAAGATATAGTGGATTCTGGAAAGAAAAAGAGAAAAAATATGGAAAATGTATATAACATCACAGAACTAAAAAGAATATGTGGCTATTAATGAAAATCAGGTTATGTAGCAAAGTATAGGATGTTACTAATGATTGTAGTTTTGTTATTTATATTTGCAACACTAAGAAACTGAATACTATCTACTCTATTTTAGGGAATACACACACACACACACACACACACACACACACACACACATACACACACACCCTGGTAGGACCAGAGAAAGTACTTTAAGAAAAAAAATCCTGCTTAGCCTCCTTAGGTTTAAAAAGATGAGCATCTGTTAAATACAAATGGGGTGTTGTTTAAAATTATCAGAAAGCAAGAATGATGTCTTGGAAATTAAAATATAATTGTTGAAATAAATTCAGTAGGAATTAAGGAAATTTCATAGTAGATAAAACAGGATAGAAATTGAAAATATGACAGAAATGATAGGGTACAGAGGCTGCATTTAGGAGGACTAATGAGTTACTATAAGTTATCTCAGAGGACAGGAAAAAAAATGGATGAAAAGAAATTTTTTTTATTTTAAAGTAAGAAAATTTCCCTTAGCTGAAAGTAAACATCAGGTCTCAAGTATTGAGCCAGGTTAATGAAAATAGATGGATATAGATACTCTTCATTGTGAAATTTCAAGGTACTGAGAAAATAAATTCCAGAGAGAAAAATACTGGTCACCTAAAAAAAGAATAAAATCAGATTTTTTCATACTTTTCAACAGCTACCTGGATCCTGGAAGGTATTGGAAAGATTCCTTCAAAGTTTTAAAGGCAAATCATTTTCAATCTGGGGTTTTGCATGCAGCAAAACTGTCAGTCATAAATTGGGACTGAATAGGATATTTTGTACATAAGCAAATTTGAAAGTTTGTCTCCTGTATTACACCTTTTCTTGCTATTTGAAAATATAATTTTACAAGATGAGAGAATAAACCAAGAAGGAAGATAATAGCGTATTCATGGAACAGCGGATTCCATGTGAAGAGCAATCAGTATAGGTTTGAGGAGCATCTATTGATTGTGTGATTGAGAGCTTACAAAAGGCCTGAAGCATATTACCGTGTACTCAGCACCATTAGAAGGGCGTGGGAGAGGAAGGAAGGAGAGGGGGAAGGAGGGACTCAAACTTCAGAGGGGGAGAAAGCTCTGTTGTCATAAAAATAAAGCAGATTAAACTGTGACAGATTTTTGAGCTATTATTGGTATGCAAAAGAGGAGAATTCACTTGAACTTGTCCTGCTTTTTTTCAGTGGCACAGCAGTAGGTGACCACCTCTCTAATTTATTATACTAATCAGAACACTTTTCAGTAGTGTAAGGAGGTGCTATTAATGCTAACATTAGGACAAGGGGTGTAAAATGGAGCAGTCTGGGGCAGCTTGAGATATATAGTCACCCTACACATGGGTTACGGCACTGAAATTGTGTAGAAGGTGGTGTGATCTGTACATACTCACAGAAACAATATAACTGTAGTAGGCAACATTAATTTAATTATGATAATGGAAATACTGTCTTGGTTTACAGGTTTTATTATCAATTTGCTTATAATAGCAATAACAGCTTATCTTGGACTTAGCGTGTATTAGGCACTGTTCTAAGCATTTTGCATTTATTAATTTATTGAATCCTTAGAGTAACCTTATGTGGTAGGTGTTAATATTATTCCCACTTTTCAGAAAAGAAACTAAGGCAAAGAAGGAACTTGTTCAAGCTGTATCTAAGTTAGGGTTGGATTAGAGGTTTGAGTTCAGTCTTTC